TACTAGCTTATTCGACTTGTTATTATACTTTTCGGTTTTCTGGACCTCCCTTTTCTAACCCTGACTTTGAGAAGATAGCATTTCGTACCGTACACACATTTTGCAATTCATCTCATTCTAGTAAATGTTAGCGATAGCTTCATTCCGATGGTGAAGAAATCGCTGATGGTAATACCGACTCGAATCGAAGAGAAAGTTGAGTAGCTGAGTCAAAATTTGTAACGTGATCTTAGGGGTCGTTCACATGTTACGTAATCAGCCGAGACGGGAGGGGGGACCAGATAATTACGCTAGTGTATTTTGACACAATAGCTATGTGTAAAACTAATTACGGAGGTGGGAGGGGGGGGGGGGGGGGGGGTTACAAATTGTCCAAAAAGTGATTACGTAATATGTGAACGACCTTAAATATCTTACGACTACGAGATCTTACGTGATGTTGTTCACGTCCTTTGTTAAGCAGGGTCGTTTGTCGGTTTCCTATGATTACGTGGGTCATTTCTACTTCTAGTAGCATTGTCCACCACATCACCTTCAGCTGACGACGATTAACACATGTTTATTGAAAGCTTCTACAAGTTAAACTATCGTATCACTTATATGTTTTTAACCCAACTCCATTCAGTTCTACTTCTAGAGTTTAATCCACGACCCGCCGCCCTTATACTCACCACACTATTTACCCCTTATATTATTATACCCCTTTACTGTTTTCAGGCATTAAGACTCACCGAAAGTAGTTCATCAGGCATATTTTAAGTTCAAAACATTCTAATTCAATGTCAAAGAATCCATTTTGAATTTGTAGTAATTATAACATGAAACTTGTGCGACATTAATTAACTTTAAGTGACACATATTTAATGTGCGTACTTATAAAGTTCGTAGACTCAGATTTACGACCGTAAATTTTGCATCATACGATACGACGTATGTAATTTGGTTTTGTTAATCATTAGTGGTATTTTAATTTGGGATGTGGAACACGCCTCTTTCTTCGCTGGTACAGTATAACGGGATGAAATATTCTGTGTTATTCGTTATCCCCTAGATGAGTTTTATCTGCTGCAATTGAATGTTTTTGCGTTGTAAGCATTTTGTATAACTCCACCGCCAACCAGAATATCTATTAAGATTTAATTTAAATTTGCCAAAACTTGGATGAATCAAAAGATGTATTTTTGCAGATTTGACATAAATTGTTGAGTAACGCCAATCTCATGCTTTCTCTCTCTCTTTTTCTCTTTCTGCAGAATCGCAATGTTTAAGTTTATCAACAAAGCCTGAAGTCCTTAGGTAAGAATCAGTATAAAAATATAAAAACTGATCCTATAGTAAAATAAGGTGTTGTCATACTTATTCCAGTCTCACTCTACATATTGATAGTTACGATAGTTACGATAGTTACTTATCGTCACTCTTAGTCCCAAATCCTTAATTTGAGGAGATATTAGCAGAACACACATTTCACATTTTAATTTGATCATTCCGATGACGAGAAGATTATTGATAGTTACTCCGACTCAGGTTAGAAAAGAAGTTCGTGAGTAGCAAAATCACGTTAAAATGATATTCTCTCAGAGTCAGAGTCAGATGTAACCGACCGTTTGTAGGCTTCTTAAAATTACGTTGTGCTTATTTCTAGCAATATTTAATCGCACGGAGCTTTCACTCATTTAGATCGCCCTGTTTTAGTGTGTTCAACAGGATTCAATAGAATCAATATAAAATCTTAATCGGTTGGCGTTATGATAGTGATAAAAGGGAGTGTGGACACAGCTGTAGTGATAAATCAACGTTGTAATTATAACACTAAGTTCAATGTGATACTGACACTGTTGTTTATTCATGCTGAAAGGTTAACTTTCGTATATTATGTCGTATGTTCGCGGTATAATAAACCGTTATTATACTTTAACTTGTAAATAGTTGATAATGTTGTCAATTTAATTTAAACCACACGCTGACCCGAGTTTTTGCATGAGGGGTCACCGTGTCACTGTCAGAGCCATTTACATATTGCATAACATTAATTACAACACTACAAATCTATTACATTTATTGAGAATTATGTAATGTAACGTGATGAAAATATTTTAAACCTTTAAACGGGCATATCCTGTCCAAACCCAGGATGCACTACATGAAAAATTCGTTGTAACTTTGTTTGAAAAGCATTAGCCACTGATAACGGAGAAGGAGGTCCTTAAACTTAAAGTAATGTGATAACAGCTGCACCTCATGATAATATTCTAGTATTATTATGCAGATTTCACAATGAGTAAATATCACCTATATTAGGGGACATAATAGTTCCCCTTGCTTGAGAATGAGATTGATTGGACTTTTGGCGACAAAAACTTATAGTTATATTTCAATCTAGGGTGAAGCTACGTAAATCCTTTAGGACATCATAAGTGATCAGAATGACGCTATTGTCCACCAATTTATCCAACACATTAAGAGAATGAGGTGACCATGGATCTACTGATGCAGGCACTACCATATAAGGTAGTAATGATAAGTAACCTGCACAACTGTTATTGAGAACAATAAATTTACCATGGGAGTAGTCATTACCGCACCGTTGCTATTGTGTGCGAATTAAACCAAACCATTCAGACATTTCCACGCTGCAGTATAATAAGCCTCACGCTGATAGTTGATACGCGATGCTATCAGTTCCTTTATTATCTATAGTAGTACTATAAGTAGTAGTACTACTATCGTTTTCATTATATATTTCAAATTCATTATAATATTTTGGTTATACCTGGCGGACTTACTGAAAAAGTTATGCAATTGCAAAGATGTAAATATAAAATCTTTTGCATTCTGTCTTCACACTTCAGAATATTTTGAATCTTAAGAATTTTTTCGTCACTACTGAATCTCTTCAACATCAGAATATAGTTATAGTTTCACACTCTGTAACTTTGTATAGGAATTAAATGTGGTCAATTCATTCCATGCTTTAGTTTAACCAATGTTTAACACACATTGTAGCGTACAGCCTTTAGCCTATTTTCTATTTCATCAGTTTAAAACTTCAAACACTATAACTACATGTGATGTGATGCATGTTCTGAGACAATTCTGTATTCAACTAGTTCTGCACTGCACTCTAGTGAAACCCAGGTGGCCTGTTCACTAGTACTACCAACCTCACTTGTTCAGTTTCTTGCTTATGTCCAACTGTTCGTCGTTACTCTTTCCACAATGTATTTAGTAGGGGGGGGGCCAATGGCATAAATGGAGAAAATGGAGAATTACTCATGGGTTTTTCCATTTTCTCCATAGAAAAAGTCTCCATTTTATGCCATTTTATGCCATTGAAAACCTGAAAAATTTAGAATTTCGAGAAAAATTATTAAAAAAAAGATATTTTCGGCCAATAATGAACAGGGTATCATGAAACATGGAGAAAAGTGGTTTTCAGAAAAACTTTGAAAAATGTTGACTTAGAAAATGTTCGGTCCGAGTCATTTTCGATACGTACCTCCCGTATCGAGAGCTCCCGATTCCGTGCTCGTGTTGCAAAGGGGAGGCCTGCCTTCCGAGATCGCATTACCTCGAGTCCAAAATTGTGTATCGAGGGGAAGGTGTGGACTTCGAAAAAATATTTTCGGCAAATAATGAACAGGGTAGCATGAAACGTGGAGAAAAGCGGTCTTCAGAAAAAATTTGAAAAATTTTGACCGAAAAAATATTTTCGGCTTATAATGAACAAGGTAGCATGAAACGTGGAGAAAAGTGTTTTTCAGAAAAACTTTGAAAAATTTTGACTTAGAAAATTACCCCTCGGTACACAATTTTGGACTCGAGGCTTCCCCCTGGTAATGCGATCTCGGAAGGCAGGCCTCCCCTTTGCAATACGAGCTCGGAATCGGGAGCTCTCGATACGAGAGGTACGTATCGAGAATGACTCGGGCCGAAAATTTTCTAATTCAAAATTTTTCAAAGTTTTTCTAAAAACCACTTTTCTCCACGTTTCATGCTACCCTCTTCATTATTAGCCGAAAATTTTTTTTTGGTTTTTCGGTTTATCGAAGTCTGCACCTACCCCTAGATACACAAATTTGGACTCGGGCTTCCCCCTAGTAATGCGATCTCGGAAGGCAGGCCTCCCCTTTGCAACACGAGCTCGGAATCGTGAGCTCTCGATACGAGAGGTACGTATCGAGAATGACTCGGGCCGAAAATTTTCTAAGTCAAAATTTTTCAAAGTTTTTCTAAAAACCACTTTTCTCCACGTTTCATGCTACCCTCTTCATTATTAGCCGAAAATATTTTTTTGGTTTTTCGGTTTATCGAAGTCTGCACCTACCCCTAGATACACAAATTTGGACTCGAGGCTTCCCCCTAGTAATGCGATCTCGGAAGGCAGGCCTCCCCTTTGCAGTGCGAGCTTGTTTCGACTTTCGAGGATGTAGGTCTCACTTCTCAGTGCCTATAATTACTCTCCCCTATTACTCACTCCTGCTGTAGCCTGTAGAAATAACTTTACACTAGGCTTGAGTAATTATGAGTTTGCCTGAAGTGTGCCTCTACTAACCTAGTATAAGCATCTAGTAGCCTACTATGAGCTTTCATAAGCTTGTTACGCCCCTAGTAAGCGTAAATAAACATGTTAGGATGTCCAATTTAGGTGTTAAAGATCAAAATTTGAAGACAAAATTCATGGCATAAAATGGAGAAAATGGAGAATTACTCATGGAGAATTACTCAATGGAAAAACCCATGAGTAATTCTCCATTTTCTCCATTTTATGCCATTTTATGCCATTTTATGCCATTGGCCCCCCCCCCCCATTTAGTATTATCGTGTAAATGTGATCGTACAATTCTGTGCTGTCGTTTTACTTTTTGTGTAATCCTTTTCTGATTTTCCTGCATTTTTGACTTGCCACAAAATTCACAGATTAGGTCCTATATTTGATGATTATATTTATGCAACACCTTCAACCTATTTTACACGCTTAAACTTGATATAATAATTTTTCCAGGCTCTGTTCAACCATGTATTTTGGAACCGTACACGCGTACGTTAAGTCGACGGAAAGCTGCTCAAAGTTTGCTAAACTTCTTGAAGATGCAGGTTCTGAAATTCTGGTGAGTTTGATAAATTTAATAGTTTCAATTTTTAAGAATTGTGCTCATTCTAACAGCTTATATAAATAAACAGCTAAATAAATTATTATCACACTTCAAGATTTAACTTTTTCAAATTATGAATTGCCTCAGCCCAAGTTCGGGGGCAGCAAGACGCTTTTCCTACCCAACAACTCAGCATTCGAAAAGCTGACTGACCTAGATTTGCAAGCGTTAGAATTGTTTCCCAACAAGTTCGTTGGATCCCTTCTTTACAAAGGTGTTTTACTTTTGATGTGTACTTTTAATTATTTTAATCATACATTCTGCTGGGGGGGGGGGGGGGGGGGGGGGGTAGTACTACTAGCCCAATTTACTTCCATAACTTCTGACATTGGCAAAATTTAAATTAATTAAATTTGTCTCCAACAATGAGCCAACTGTCATATTGTGTCAAGATTAGAAGTTTGACTCAAAGAATCCGCTCCAAATTTAATAACTAAACCTATTGTTTTGTTCAGGTGATTTGTGCACAGCAGGAATGTTCCACATTAAAGATTTCAACACAATCGACAGTACCTGGTCGGTAACTCTCAGCTCAGAGGACGAACTTATCATCGGTAATTATGATTATTTTGGTTATTTCAGTTCAGATATTTTAACAAATGAACTATATTCTTTTGATCCCCATACTTGCCCGCTAGGTATTTAAGCTAATGATAGTTTTTACGATATTACAGGTGATGGAGCAAGGTTTCTGGAATCAGACATTCTGTGCAGTGACGGGGTGGTGCACGTGATGGACACAGTCTTACTGGACACTGTTACCTGACACAGAGGGACTAAAGTGCAAAGAAACACAGTCACCTGATACTGTCACGTGACACTCAGTCAGATTCACTCAGACTCAGTCAGTCTTTCTTAGCAGAACTTGTACATTAGGGTCGCTGTTTGAGTAAAAACTAATTAGTTTGAGTTGTGGGAATGTGGGTAAGCTATTATTTTGCAGGAACTTTTAGTTTACGTCATATACTCAAATGTCAGCTCGCGGCTAGAGTCCCATATTACTTAGCGACCTTTTGATATTGTCAGTGAAGTCAGAAGGACTATTGAAAACTATTTACGATTAAACTATTTTGTGAGCGTGCAGTGAAAGTAGAGGCAATATTATAGTCGTCATAACACCAACATTTGAAGGATGTGATTTTGAGTTTTGTGTTTATAAACTTACTCTTTGTTTACAAACTGAAACAGATTTGTTCCTCATTATTTTACCTAATTGAAAATAATACCCATTGTATATTGGTACATGAATGAAATTATATACATAATCAGTATAACATTGTAAACATCACTTAAGAAAACGAATATAGTAACCATGGTAACGAATATAGTAACCATGGTAACGAGCATCCCCGCCATATTCCTCGATATAACGAAGAAGGTTTCATATTAACATTACACAGAGGGGCAAAAGTTCCAATTGTGCATTGGCTGACGGAGCATGCAGCTATTATAGTACATTGCACTGTGAAAACATTACCCGCAGTGTTCGCTCATATATTTTAGTCATCTAACATATTTTTCAAAATAAAGATGAAAACAATTTTACTCAAAAATCAGCTAAAATTCAATCATGACAGATAGAGTTAGAGCGTCCCAGAAAGCGAGCAGCCAAAAAAGCGAACAGTCAGAGAGAATGTATAGCTTAAAACGAGCGGAGAAATCTTAAATGAATCTGACTTATAACCGTTCTACGATTTTATAGTGTTAACATTTAACAAGTCAGGGCGCTTGTGATGAGGCATACTACACATACTATACAACACCATACTACCAGCACTCATTCATCACAGTATAAAAACTCAAATCATTTTAATAAAACATATATATAACATCATCTATCTGTCATCTTGCAGTATTTTACTGCTAGAGATAATGAAGTTGAGTTTTAAATGAGATGGATCGACTCAAGTATCAAATACGAAGATAGCTAAGGGTCCCGCCCCTAATCTAATAAAACAAAATCAAGTCTAAATTGCTTAATTAAGTAAAATACTTAATTAAGTAAATAAACATTTAAACTGGTCTAACAAGATGAGACGGTGTAAGAAGTATTGCTGAACAGGTATTCTCTACTTCTACACTCTACTCTATATTACCACATAACACATGCATGTAAATCATGATTATCACCCGCCTAAATTAAAGTTGTCAAACGATTGAAAGAAATGTGGTTGCATTCTTAACCATTCAATAATAAAGTATAGTACAAAACTGTTTCACCAACTAAAATTCATGATTATCAAACTCAAAAAAAATGTGAAAAATTAATTCAAAAGCCACTGATAAAGGCAGATATCTCCTAGAAAAGAAGGATCTAATCTAAATCTACGACCATAGCATATAATAATCGTGTTTTAAAGCAGAAAATTTAAAAAGCAATATCGGATCATATTTGTGTTGCATGAAAATTGAAAGAAAGTTAATTGAATTCTAAGCTAATTAACTAATTGATGAACTAACTGGTTAATTAGGAGCGTGTCTCGTAAAGACCACTCCTTCCGATGTATCGAACCCACTTGACAGTTTCGTGGTCGCTGTAGTTCAGCTTCGGTTCAAAAACTTTGAGATATCGTACCTTTAATCCAGAGGGCGCGTAGGGGACCTGGAAGGAAGTGGTTTATAATCTAATAGTTGTAGTTTATTTATAAAGCTTTAAATGAGATTTAGTTTGATACAGTAGGAGGTTGAGCAGTTTACTGAAGTATTTATTATGTAATATCTGTGCTTCAAATGCTTCACTAATGAATTTTTCTCACTAAAACAAAAATACGCTGCTTGTTTTCGTAAATCAATGACATTTTTACATTTTACCAAAATCACACGAAAAAAAGAGCCAATGGCGAATATTAGGCAGCAGATTCTACGGTAACATGGTAGCTGCGGTTCACTGGGCTAAGGATACCATGTTATTTTCCGGTCCATGTTAAAAAGAAGACAAAATCAAGCAAACCACACAAAAATCAAACCCAACGGCATTTAGGACTCTATCAGGAAATTGTAACAGATCGGATTTTTATCAACCAGATTAGGTCTGCTGATTAAAAAACAACGAGTACACAACCTCAGATCAGTACTCAATCAACAGTTGCTATGGTGTTGCTATGGCAACAGTTCTAGTTGACATGTTTTACACGTGATAGAGTCCTACGCCGCGTTAAAAAGGAGTAACACGAAGAGAGAGAGATCACACTCTTTATACCGCACCTATAACCCTGCTCTCACGCCTCTACACTCTCACTTCGTACAGTCCCGCTCGCCCGATGTAACGGATAAATTTAGTCGTTTGTTGGTCGCTGTACCCGAGTTTGGGCTCAAACACTTTCAGGTAACGGACCTTGAGACCGGAGGGGGCGTATGCTACCTGATGTGTGGGTTAGAACATGTAGGATGGGTAGTGTAGGATGTAGGATTATAGACATTAAACAGGCACGGTTATGTAGGATAATATACATTAAACAGTGAACAGACACGGTAAGCTTATTAATGTAGGATTACGGTTATGTAAACTAAACGCCAGACAAATGAGGTGCTTATTTGCCTAAAGGCACTTTAGTATCTAGACTTGTAACAGAAGCGTATGAAATTACTTGTATGGAGAGCACAAAAACAATAAATAAACAAGAGCGATATTTTTTAAGACGCTTCGAAAGAGAGCGATGCTTTCAAGACGTTAACAGATGTTAAAAAACTAACCAGTTATATACAGACACAATTGCGTTTCAATACATAATAACGCTAATATGAAGACCTGCACGACGAGACCGAATACTGTTTTATGAACATAGACAGGACAAGCATTATTCTAAAAACCTCAAAGTTCATGGAGATGGGTGGACGCTGCCATTTTCGGTTCTCAGTACTTGGTAACAACTCAATCTCTGCAGTTAACTGGGCCTCTTTTAATCCGGCCATTCTTTTTATCCTGAAAATAATCGTTCTCGTGAATGTTCCTTGTTCGGTGTAGAGGTAATATAAGCGGACCGAATCTCTGACGGACTACAGAGTACGGATCATGACCTCCTCACCAGTAGAGACAGGGTTAGGGATGAGGCCTGGGTAAGGATTGGTTTAAACTTTAAGGGTTATGGTAGGGGTAAGAATCAGGGTTAATCTTTGGGTAAGCGGTAGGGGTTCGGTTCGCCAACACAACCCACAGGTGTTACCCGTCTAGTATGAACAGAGACCGCATCTGTCGTTGTTGAAAGGTATTTAATTAAGATATATAGATTTGATTACCTAAAATAGGTTACTCAAAATAGGTTACTTGACGCAATGAACTATTGTCGATCATGCTGTGGCGCGCATGAGATCGATCACGCGCGCGGAATAACTATACGTGAAAGTGCGTTAACTGGCACTTTTTACGGAAAAGCGATAAAATTTGCTAGTAGAAAATGATGTTTAGACTTTTTGTCCCACAAAGGCCTCTAAATCAACAAATTACTTTGTTCCCGCAAAACAATCCAGATTTAAACTCGCATTGGTTGCAAATATGCAAAGAATAAATATACTCCAGGATTGCATACCTCCAAACTACCGCGTTATCAGACGATTTGAATTTCGATCTTCCCTTGTTGCAAAATAGATTAACCCCAGCAGTCGTTTGTGGCGTTGGTATTTTAACCTGGACAGTATCATGTCTAGTTTGAATGAAACGTATTAGATTACATGATTTAGATTATCAAACATGGAAATGTAGGCTTATGGTGTAACTTTTGAGAAAGCTAGACAAAAATAAAAAAGTTGGAGACTTCCAAAACTCCCATATCATCAGCTCCCTTAATCAGCCAATAATCAAATAAAAATATACCTCTATTTTCTGTCCCAGTAAGGCAGGCCTGTAGTTACTTTTCAGAACAACTTTTATTTCCATTTTAGTTTTCCCTATTTCCCGTACTAGAGGAATTATCCTAAACGGGAAGCTGATGTCTTTGGTGGTTCGGTATCTGCAAAAGATAATTCATTAATTTATGATACTTAAAGTAGCGTCTAAGAAAAAGGGAGTTCACTTCAAGTATTTTAAAGCAGAGTCTGCTTTAAAATTAGTCGCCGAAAAATTTAGTCTTGAGACTAAATAAGCATGGAATTTGGTTTACAACAATTTTAGTCAAAAGTTTGACTAAATTTATGGTAGACTAAATTTTTCGTTCTTAAGGTAGGCGAAAAATTAAAAGCAACTAATAATTTATTGCTCGGATCATTTGAGTCCATCTTTTAATTTTGTTAATCGGTGGTCCGAAAATTATTATTATAACACTGTTACAAACATAATATAACATAAACACCTATGTACCTCATAAGCTCGAATTCACCGTCAGGTGGAATAAAACTGATACTTCGTTCAGTTTCAAACTTGCTTAGTTTTACACACTGATGGAATGTGCAATCGTCAATAGCTATCCCTGCATTCTTTCTGAAAGTAATTGACTCGATTGTAAACAAAGAATAAATTGCAAGAGAAGTATAAAGGTATAAGGGAGAAAAGAGGCATCAAATAAATATAGACCTAAAACCAGATCATGAGATTATACCTACTTTTTTGCAACTACATCGCTTGTAGTCTCCTTATCTTTGGTATCTGTGATGATCTTATCGTTCATTCCAAACTTGCATTCCGGCATACCAGACAGATACGACCTCATAACGACTCTACCAGAAACGTGGGCACTTAGAACTTTACCTGTCGGGTATTGGAGTGTTACTAATAGGTTATTAATAGGTTATTAATATGTTACTAATAGGTTACTAATAGGTTACTAGTAAGTTACTAGTAGGTTACTAATAGGTTACTAATAGGGAGAGTAAGCTATTTTACTTTACCTGCCGGGTATTGGAGGGTTACTAATAGGTTACTAATAGGTTACTAATAGGTTATTAATAGGTTACTAATAGGGAGAGTAAGCTATTTTACTTTACCTGTCGGGTATTGGAGGGTTACTAATAGGTTATTAATAGGTTATTAATAGGTTATTAATAGGTTACTAATAAGGAGAATTAGCTATTTGCGGCTGACAATGGTAGGGCGCGTTTATGACACTAAATTGAAATGTGAAGAATATCCAAAATGTCAGAAATGTAAACTATGTATGTGTCTCGGACTTACCCTGAGCGTTCATAAGGAGGTTCACATTCTCCAGTACATCCAGGAACAGTTCATTTCTCCGGTATTTGATTCCTTCCCGCCTCCACCCTATCTGACCTGTCACTTGGTTCGTTATCTTCGTCTGTTCTTCCGCACTCTGTGAGGCATACTAGTATAGTGCCTTGGCACAGAGTGGCTTAGGATTAATGAAAAGGAGATAAGTACCTCAGGCCATCCAAACACCGGGAGTGACCTAGCCTTGTATCTTGTTGTTGTAAAATAATGAGTTATTTCTTACCGTAGTCTTGATTCCTTGTTGAGTGATGAAGGTTTTTAAGATTCCGCTGTCTGTTTTCTGAGGGTACCCAAAGTCCAGAATTTCTGAGGAAATAGGATTATGTCTTCCAGTTATTGAACTTACCCACATTAAAATTAATGTTTAAGATGTGTATTGTGTATGCTCGTCATATATTCATATGTAGACAACAAAACTAATCTGCAGCATGGGAGATCGTATTACAAAACTGCGGAGGGATATTGAGCTAGCCTTTAGTATAGAGTGATAATACAGAAGTTAAAATATTGTTTTAAATATGGCGATTAATGAACTCTCATCTCAAAAATCAGATCGGGAATTAGTACCCTTACTTATTATAAAACTTTCGTTAAATTATTTCATTTGAAATATTAAAAATTAAAAATGACACTGATTTAAAATGTATCCTGCTTGAACTGACCGTCTAAAAGTTCGTAGATCAAGACGAAGTTACTTTTAATAGCCTCCTCACTGACTTTACCAAAGTAACTTGTCATCAGAGCTAAGGTTTTGTGGAGCATCTCAAATACCATAGCTGCGTTTACGTTCTGCGGGAAAGTATTATCGTTATAGTTATAGTACTGTATGCAATGAAGGGGTATCCTAGTTAATTAATTATTGTAGTTTTATTAATCGTTAGTTAATTAATTATTGTAGTTTTCTACAAATACTTTTTTAAAGGCTCCTTTGACCTGCTCCTTTTTATGCCCGAAGCCTGCGAAAATATGATTATACTTAGCAAGTATACCTCAACAGGTACTCAATATTAACAAATTTACTAATCATAGCTGTAAAGGCATTAACCCTTGCTCCAATATTTTGGAATGGTGGACGGATGGAAAGTTCACCGTTCACGGACTATAAACTCAATAACATTGATGGAAGAAGAAAAGAATACGTCCGGCAACAAAATGTACCTAAATATCGTTGAAAACGAATATTATTATCTTTTGCAGAATTCTAAAAACATCCAAATCTGGCCTTGAGCACTTCTTGTTGGAAAAAGATACCACAGTACATTAAACATGAGTTCATCTCAGGATAGATTTAGTCCCCACTCCTACACTCACGTAATATAGTCAAGTAACGTGAGCCTCTTGAACAGTTGCAGGATTGCCATTATCTCCCGGGTGCTGTTTTTGTTAAGCGGAAAGTTATTTCCTGCAATCTGCAACTTTAGTTTCCGAACTTTGCCGAAACTTTTGCACAAGTACTAGATTCTCTCAGAGAACTTTTTAGTAATTTTCTTCTGGCATCACCAGCAAATTTTGCTCTTTTCTGCCACCATGGTCAACTCTACAGAATACACTATATTTGGGATGCACCGTGAGATAGAAAGATACTCCTGGGCTTGCTATAACTTGTTCGTGCTTCTCTCGTCTCTTATTGGAGATACCCTGATCCTGATGGCATCCTTTCATAAAGACGCTTTCAAAATCAACAAGTTTATAGTCATTATAATCCAACACATTGCTGTCTCTGATCTTGCAATCTCAACTAGCCGAGTATTCCCGACAACGATCTCGCTCTTCGCTAACGGTTGGATCCTAGGGGAAACACTGTGCAATCTTCAAGTTTATTTAAAGTACAACAGTCACGTAACAGGCTTGTTACTAATAGCATTTCTCACTTCCAGCAAGTTAATTCTCCTCAAATACCCTCGTCAAGCAGCTAATTGGACGACAAGGAAAGTAAACCTAGCCTGCATCACCATTTGGATAGTTCCTATTGTCATTCCACTACTTTTCTTGATTCTGGATAAGGATGATGTAGTATTTGACTACACCACCTATAATTGTGCTTATGGGTTTAATGCTGAAGTCTTTAAAAATCTGATCACCCCCATCGCAGTAATATCTACATTTCTACCCAACATCATTGTCGTTGCCACGACAATTCCTACACTGAAATACCTGTATGACGCGAGGAAATCTGCAAGGCAAGTCAAGGGAACAGTACCCTGGCAAGGAGCTTTAACTGTAGCTCTCACTGCTGCTGTCTACTGCATCTCATCTTTACCCAATTCTGTTTACTTCATCAGTAAACCTTTCACCGGTGGTGACCCTACAGGCCCATTTCAATTTTATCTCCATAGAGTAAGCAACTACGTGTCAACGCTTAACGTTATGTCAAACTTTTTTATATACACTTTGACGATAACAAGTTTTAGGAAATTCCTTTTGTCGAGACTGCAAGTTCTCTGGAGAAACACCAATGTAACTACAGATGATGAACAAGGTGAACACAGCTAATAACACTTGCCAGTCAAAAGGACAACACACTCCAGTTTGATGGCAATGTATTGGAGACTGTAGCGATTATTTGTGATACAAATATTTTTGATTGCTACAGACTTGTGTGACTTGTTTTGTAATATAATTATTTGTTAGATTTGATTCAAAACTATTAAAGGAGGCCACGTAATTTCTTATTTAAAGCGTTGGTTCAAGTTTTTTTCATTAAAATTTTAAACATAATGTATTACCAATAAATAACTAACGGATAAAATATTTAATCAGCGAATAACTGTAATGGTTTTAGGTATTTTGTAATACATCGATATTCTATGATCTACAATTTACAAGCTAATATTTTTTCTTTGTCCAGTAAACTTTCAGTTTCACGGTTTACCCTGAAAGCAAGTGAAATTTTCCGTTACTAATAACTAACTAGTAATTAAATAATTAAAAAAATAAATAAATAAATAAATAAATAAATAAAGTCAATTTTTACAGCACAGCAATATATATCTAAATATCAGATCCTCTGTAATCATAATGTATAAAAAAAGGAGCTTTTCTCTGTGCTGAAGGATGAATCAAGGCAGATCATGGTTCTGTTAGCAGGCCACCCTAGTTATGGACAATACATAATTATTTAAGTTAATTAATTAAGTAATTAACATAAATAACCAACTCATAACTTACCTGTCTAGTAACAGCAGTGATCCAGATATTAGATTTCTTGAGGTGGAAGAAAGAGGTACGGGCTATGTTAGTTACAGGTGATCTTATCTGTGATCGAGCGTGGATAACGTTTACTCTGAACGCGTCCACCGCATTTCTCCTGAAAAAAACATGAACTTTAAGACGAGTTGTTAGAAGCACGACTTATTAAATACACAAATGACACGTAGTTGTTCGGCTATTAAATCATTCAATTAAGAGAATGTCTGACTACACACAATGCTAATACAGCTAAAGGAACTAACGCGATGTCGTCTCTGTAGATCCTGGAGATAAGGATCTCCCCCTTGTGATTGTAGATAAACAACCCCCCGATCATACTGTCTGATCTCTCTCTACCTGATCATCCTACCAAACAGTTAGTTATTCAATTAGTTACATTTAAATTAGTTAATAGTTTGCTTATCTACCTGATCATCCTACCAAACAGTTAGTTATTCAATTAGTTACATTTTAATTAGTCAATAGTTTGCTTAAGTTTTGATGAATTTTTTTCCCTACTCTTGCCGAAGGCAAAAAGATCGTAGGGAATAAGTAATCGGGTTTGGATATATGAGGTGGCCCGACGGTCCTACGGTGTCGACAAAAGTCTGCTCCTTCGCAATATAGACCACTCCCCTATAATTATGTGTATAAAAGGAGTCTATTTTGCGCGCGCGACGCTGGTTATGAGTTAATTAATTACAGGCATAGCAACCAGTTTTTGGTGCTTGACGACTGTTACAAACGGATCAATCATCAATATAGGAGTTATTTGTGTGAAACAAGCTTAATAAATTACCGAGTGATAAAATTCAGCAAGTCAAAACAAATAAAATTATGATGTCAGCTGATAAACTCGTGGCTGTGGGCTGATTATTTAACAGTTAATCGACACTGAATGGTAGAAAGCATTGGAATACATAGTTGAGAACAAATGTTACTGCACAGTTACATTCAAGAAGCAACTATAATATCAAGATTTTGGAATGCTTTTAAAGAATCCTATATCAAATAAAAGGCTCGAAAGTCGATGGTGCTGTGATGTGTCGAGTAAGAATCAAAATGTATTAGTTTATGTTAGATACAAATAATAACTAAGACGAGACAGCATATTTTATTACAGTCAATAAGTTGGCATACGATGCAGTAATATGACGTGACATGATACGCATATCGTTATTATTAACACGAAACAAAACCGCGCAAAGTATGAAATGATCTACAACCAAACCACATACAGATCGACGGCGACACCTCAGATGCGCGCAGGATTTTTCAAGTTCTGCACGCCTAATATAATATAAACGTTTATTACATTGTACATACTACATGCGCCAAACACCACTCTGGGATACAATAAAGTAGAACAATTAAATTGTATGCAGTAGGGAAATTTGATCGTGCGTGGTGTTACCGCGGCGAAATTCTTGTTATTTATAAAACTTATTGATCAAGCTTAGTGACAAAAATCGACATTTAAATAAGTGTGAATCACTGCACTTTTAGAACAGATTATCAATTTTAGTTGTTATCTTTGTTAGAAAGCAGTGATTAACAAACCAATTTGAACTGAACGATTAAAATTTATAGATTTTATATCAACAATTGTAATAAGATTAGCGTTGCTACTACAAGCATGTAACATTATAATGTAATATCCGGCTAATTTAAGTAACCCTGATTTTACAAAGGAGGATGGTAGAAAACTGAGCTTTGTTAGACTCAGAAGAAGAATGTAGGGGGAATGATGGCAATAATCTTCTGCTGGCTTTATTTAATTCAATTTAACCCTTGGAACGAATCTGAATATCAAGATTGACACAGAAAATATTCAGCAAGAAGGTAGCCGACTAAAACTTCAAATAAACGTCTCAACAATCAATAAAAATTCTGCCTCAGCGAGGTGGTTCAGGAAGATCTTGTAAGTTCAGACTCCGGGTCAAATAACTTAATATTAAGTACTGGTTTTGGGGTGATTATTTTCCAGCTTGCTTTCTCAGTAGAGCATATATCTTTTCTTTAATCCATTCTTTGTCTTTAGGTTCATAAGTTCTCTGGTCTCTGCAAAAAAAAGTGAGTAAGAATTGATGTTTTTAAAAATAAACTTGATCTCAACATAAGCACCACTGAGATTGCGATGATAAAATCATACTTCATATGGTGTTCAGTGAAAAACGTAAAATTCAAAATCCCACAAAAAGCGCACACAAGTGACAAAGAACTTGACAAAGAACTTGACAAAGTGACAAACCTGTTAAATATAAGACAGGCCATGTCTGAGAGATCATCAATGAAATCGAATAGTTGACTGATATCGTAAGTTATGGAGAGGGAAGAGGGGTTCAGCTCTTTGAGATGCTCTTCATAGATCTTACAAACTGAAATGTTTAAACATTGTTTAAGTTGTTCACATTTTAAAGTGTACATTTTGGAGTCGAGCTATGGTATTTTTTAATGAATAAACTTTCAAATTGTTACACAAATACATCATTTTATTTCAAAGAAAGTTTGCCGAATGACCTTACGATGCTGGTGGATAATATGAATAAAAATGCTCCGATAATATTTCCAAATCACACTTAACGACAATAAGTTTGGTAATGAAAACTAGCATTATATATAACTACCTCCTTCTAAAGCCTCTGTTAGAGTTTCAAAGTCACAGTATGTTCTGGAAGTAGGTTTGTGAGAAGGCTGCACTAAAAGAATTGTGTGGCTGTTTGAAGAAGACATACTAATTGGGGTGTTGGTGTTAGTAATTTCAAACAACAGGGAGTATCAATGGGTGTAATGTGGTTCTGAATAAGGTTTTTTAAACATTGATATTTTGGTAGCTGAAAATAAAACTTTTTCTTGAATAATGCAACAAAACCGATGTGAGAATAGCACATTTAAATGTCAATTGATGAAAAATACACATTCAAGAATCAACATAAAAACTGCAACCGGTTTATTCATATTCTATAAAATAATCTCTTTTTATCCTGTCATCACAGCTCTTGTAATGGATATTATGTGTTTATTAAAATCAATTTATTATAATACTAGAAAGCCCGTGGTAACAGGGACGAAGCTAGAAGTATTCTTTGAAAGAAAGTTTTAATCGCATCAAAGAATATCCATCCCAACCGAAGATACAGCCGATTTTAATGTAAAACACTTACCACAAAACCGATCAAAATGACATTAAAAAAATCTTTGCATGTGCATGTGTGCATTAAAACACCATTGCTATGGAACGTTTTGGTTGTTACCTAAATTCTTATTTCTCATCTGATTTGCACATGGGCGGTTGTACAGTGTACGTACAAACAAAAAGAATTCTCTGAATTGTAAGTAAGATAGTAATTTAAAATGGAATATTATCTTAACTTATCGGACACATCGTCCTCATCAGACTTATCGTCCACTTCATCATCATTTACGTCGTCAATTAAATAATCTGGTAAGTTTGGCAACATTACAATAAATTGGTAATACTTTCCAACCTCATAACCACAAACTGGCAAAAAGCTCAAATCTACAAGTACACCATTTCGTTTTATAGGTCTTTCACACCAACTGATTGGAATTCTAGAAGTAGAAACACCACGTTCCGTAAATTGTGCACAAAAATACATATATCTTTTGCTTTGAATTTGCTGTGATAGTGGATAGAATATGGCGGGCAATAAGTGGAGTCAGTACAGAGGACCATTTTAATACCATCGTTACCAGCAATAGTTTTTTAAATAAATCCACAATTTCCTTCCTTAGAAAAAGTTTTCATTTTAGGGTATTTGAAGGATGTGATTGTTGATCCAGGAGTGAAAATAATTTTTTTTTAAATGAAGGTAAATTATTCAAACAATATACTATAATATTGTGCAACTAAATAATATACACATAATATAGCAATGACCCTATATAAAATCAACCCTTTAAGAATTCAAAAAATTCCCTTAACAATCAAAAATTTTTACCCTTGGCCTTGTGGCTCCAAGTTAATAATAATAATAATAATAAATTAATGTTATTTTTATACAGCACCAAAAGGTTAAATAATTTAAATTTAACCCTTATGCTCAGCTGTAAATGATACTTAAGTTAACGAGAGTGTGCATCTTTGCCTTAGGTGAAACAAGAAACTGTTCAGAAAACAGACGTTAAAAACTGTAAATAAAATCGTGACTAGATAAGGCAGATGCACCTAACAAGCAGGCTTAGCAGGTTTTCTAACAGAGGACTTGAGGAAAGGATGATGACTGCAAGAAATCACAGTATGAAACTCATCAGCCTATCAAATGTAAAAATCAGGATAATAAGAATGAAATTCCCTAAAATATTAAAAATTCTATAAAAATTCTATAGAAATTCTATAGACTCCAAATATACAAACAATCTGAATACTTCAATATACAATACAAAATTATTAAAAAAGCTTACTGCAGAACAGTAACTGATGTTACAGAAAATCCAATACAGTCATGTCAAATTATCTGGGCAACATACAAGTCTAGAGACGGTGAAATAAACAGAGTGGTAGAAGATGCTAAAATACTTGAGACAAAATACAAAGAATAAGGCAGCTTTCTCCTGGGTGCCAACCCAAAAAATGTTGGTGTCCCGGGATAGAGCCTCCTTTTCTGACCTACACTACAATTTTGTTGGCAGACACAGTGAAACACGGAAAAGAATAATATCTCGAATGTTGCCCGAAAATCCTGAAAAATTAGTAGCCTAAAATAATTTAATTTAAAGCGTAAAATTGACCTGCTAAAGGATGAAGATTTTAAAAATCTTCTGATAATGTATTATTTACTCAGTACATATCAAAGGACTTTCTAAACAGATGAGCTTTTAGTTTTCCCTTAAAGTCATTGATGTTTACACATTTCCTAATTTCTTGAGGAAGGTTGTTCCATAATCTTGGAGCAGATGAAGAGAAGGCTCTTGGTGGGCTGTTTATAGGGCAATGAAGAGACACATCTCTGCCACCACTGGGATTGTACTTGACAAGGTTTGACAGGTATGAAGGTGCTAGTCCATGGAGCAGTTTGAAAGTTAGCAGGAGTATTTTAAATTCAATACGTTCTTGTACCTTGAGCCAATGAAGTTCTTTTATGTAGGGCTCAACTTCTTCTCTCCTCTTTAGACCTTTAACTAAGCGACATGCTCTGTTTTGCAGAGATTGTAGCTGTTTCAAAACAGAATGATTAGTACCATAGTAAAGTGCATTGCAGTAGTCAAGGGAACTAATAACAAGAGATTGTACGATGATTTGCATTTGATCTTCAGAGAGGAATGGTTTCATCTTTGCAATATTCCGCATCTTGTGGCAGTTTGCAGCTTTAAGCTTCTTTATCTGAGGATTTAGAGTCAGAGAGGAATCCAATGTAAAGCCAAGGTTTTTGGTAACGTTAACAAGTCTTATACAGACAGAAGATTTTAGGAAGACACCACCAATTTCTAATTCTGACAACAAACGTTTTGAACCAAAAACTATAATTTCAGTTTTAGTTGGATTCAGAAGAAGGAAGTGATTCGTCATCCAGGCCTCGATTTCTCTAAAACAGGAGGGCAGGTCTTCGCTGAGGACTTGATATTCTGTAGCGGATGAAAATGACTTGTAGATCTGGTGATCATCAGCATAGCCATGGATCAGAAATTGCTTTGATTTTACAGAAGAGTAAATTGAGCTGATGTAGATATTGAACAACACAGGGCCAAGGACAGAGCCCTGTGGGACACCAAACTTTATTACAATTTCTTCAGATTCTAGGTCACCTATCTTGACTTTTTGACAACGACCACGGATGAAGCTGGTGAACCATTTCAAGGCTGTTCCCGCAATCCCAATCTCACACTTCAATATATTGATCAGTTTGATATGGTCAACTGTGTCGAATGCAGCACTCAGGTCTAAAAGCATTACAACTGTTGCTGTGTTTTCATTAGTGGCTACGAGGAGGTCATTGACTATGGTAATGAGGAGTGTTTCTGTGCTGTGATGCTTTTTGTAACCAGACTGGTGGTCGATGTTGAGATTATTCTTGGCTAGATGTTCATTGAGGCATTTTAATACAAAGCGCTCAATGAGTTTACCGATGAATGTAAGATTAGAGATGGGTCTATAATTCTTTAAGTTCTCAGTGTCTAGGGAATCTCCTTTGATCAGGGGAGTGAGATGTGCTAACTTAATTCCCTCCATACTTCCGGTTGAAAGAGAAACGTTGATAATATCACAAAGGGTAGGGAGGATTAGCTCAAGGTGCTCTGACAAGAGTTCTTTAGGTAGTGGATCAATCGATGAGGTTTTGATGCCAGATTCTTTGATCAATTCTCTTACTTCAAAAATAGTAGCTTTTCTAAATTCAGATAATGCCTGGCCATTGAAGTTTGGAGAACTATTAGTTACAGTAGTGTTGGGAAATGATGTTCGGATTTTCTCAATATTTTCAGTAAAATACTGGTTAAAGGCATTTACAGTTTCCTGAAGATTTTCTGAAGATGGTAAAGTGAGGTTCTTTTCTTTATCCAGGAAAGTGTCTACAAATTTGTAAAGGCTCTTTTGTGAGTGTTTGTATTTTTGGAAAGTATTAGAGAAAAACAGTTTTTTCTTTTTGAGAGTCAGCTCTGAACAGTGCTCTCGCAAATGAACAAAGATAGAATGATCAATGTCAAGACTTGACTTTTTCCAGGCTTTCTCAGCCTTTCTTCTGTCGGCTCTTGCAACTTTGTATTCGCCATCAAACCAGGGAGCAGTGGGAATGTCTTTGATGGTTTTGGAATATTCTGGAGCATGTACATTTAGTATATGTTGACACCCATTGTTAAATTGAGTCACAACATCAGAGAAGCTCTTTTCTTCAAAAACCAACTCAGATAGAGCAACAGATAAATCACCTTTAAATTGTTCCTGATCTATGTCTCTGATCTTTCTAAAGCGTATGACTTTCTCACATTTGTCGACGTCAGGAGGCTTATGAAGCTGAAATATAATCGGATAGTGGTCACAGGATGGGAAGCTTTTGGCCATGTTTTGCATTACCTCAACAGAAGTTTGATCTACTACTTTGTGCGAAGAAATAACAGGATCAAGGATGTGACCTTTTTAATGTGTTGGTGTGTAGACAAGTTGATGAAGCCCAAAAGATGATAGTATGGTGCTCCACTCGCTCACATGGGCAGAGATTCTGTCTAGGTGCATATTAACATCTCCGCATAGCAAGAAATGCTTGTATTTTGAGAATGCATCCGCCAGGAAATCTTCAAAATCAGAGAGAAAATTTCCCAAGGACCCAGGTGGACGGTAGATACAGGAGCAGAAGACGACAGACCCATCAACGAGTTTCAGTTTTGCGTTAATTGCCTCAAATGATCCGTCATTGTTGGCAAAAACTTTGATTAGACGAACACATGATTTGTAGATTATGGCAACACCTCCACCTGATTTGTCTTTGCGATACACTTGGTAAAGTTTATAGCCATAGTTTTTTATTATTGCAGTGGTGTTGTTGTTCTCATCAGTTAGCCATGTTTCTGTAACAAAGAAAATAGATATGTTGTTATCTTCTAAAAAGTTCATAACATGGTCAACTTTGTTGTTTAGAGAGCGAACATTCCAGCTTGCACATTTCATACTAAGGCTCTTAACTCCAGTCTTGTTCTTCACCAGTTTTTTTGGGTGTAATATGAGATTGAATGCTTAAGCTTGTGCTGTTCAGAGATATAGGCTGGGCATGATCTATCTGTGGCTGAGTGTGTGTACTGTTCATCAGTTCTCTTAGAATTTTTACAGTTAGCACAGGAGGGTTGAAAGGAATGTGTGTCTTTATTTGTACATGAGTTAGTTTCATGATCTTCAGTGCAATGAGCACAGACATGGTTAGATGCTTGGCACTGGGCTGAGTAATGACCAAACTTTTGGCATTTATTACATCGTTTGATGTAAAAGTGATCATACACCTTGCAGCGGTACAAACCTAACGATAGGAAATTGTCACGATTTTCAATTAGCTTCCTTATGGCATTGCTCACTCTAACAGAAGCTTGAAACAGTGGTTTCTCTGTTTGATAATTTCGTTGTTTGCGGACTGAGAGTACAGAGAATGTTTCACCAGAATCAATGAGGGACTTGATGTCAGGGTAAAGTTTCATAATGGTTTCAAAGAGATCATCGGGATTGATTTCATCTCTAATCCCGGAAATGGATATCGTAGGCAATTTGGTTATAGGTTGCTTGAGATCAGATTTGGGAAATTTTTTGGAGATAGATTGAACTAGCTTTGTTCGATCAGCTTGACTAGATGTGGTGATTACTGTCTCACCTTTCTTGTTTTCGAAGGTATTATCTACAAAAATGTTATTTTCTGTGATAATAGTTTTAAGGTCAGATAATGGAACTTTTTCTCCCCCTTCAGAGACTATTACTGAAGCTGGATGCCTCAGTTTTTCTACTCTGCTGCTGTCACGCCAGGGATTTTCGACAACACCATTAGAGCCACCAGTTTCATGGTTATTATTAACTGGTGAAAGGGTTGGTGATATGGAACCGTTTCCTGCGGTCAAACTTAATCCATGAAGAGTGGCAGGATTTAACAAGAGATTTTTAATGGTGTCTATGTCAGCATCTAGTTTTGACATTTTTGTTTCAAGGGTGTGTACATGGGTTTTTAAATCAGCAGCGTTTCTCAGGTTTGCTAATGTAACACAAGAGTCACAATGGAAGAGGAAACTTCCAAAACGTTTACCTTTCTGTTTTGATTCAGTGTTAGCATTGAAAGATTTCAGTAAGGACGGGGAGCATACATTATCAGGAAAGTTAACACGTTTACCGTCCTTTAATTCATAACAAGTAGCGTGAAAATTGCTCTTACATTCATAACAACATACCACTTCTCCTTTAGAATCAAACGAGCAGTTTCTGCAGATTCCATCAGCAGCTAACATACGTGGATCGTTCACAACAAAACAAGGGGGGCTGGCACTATCATCATTGTCATTATCATTACCATTGTCATGTTGCCCCTGTAAGACATGATTTGAGGAGTCCAGCCCCTCTGAGTTTTGATCGGGATCTACCATTCTTTTGGGAGGATGGAGACAGATATAAAATCTTTTATGATGTATAACTCAGAAGTTTCGGGGTCCTCAAATTATTTGTTATATAGTAGTGTTGAAAGTATTAAAGATCTAGACTGTTTATATCAACAATGTTTTTTGTCTCGCACCTCCAAGAGTGAAAATATGATGAATATCATCTCTAGCCACACCATCTGAACCATCCATTACAACTTCAAACCATCGGCACCCTGGAACACAGTCATCTGATGAGCAAAGATTTGTACATTCCTTGACTTCTTCAAAGAAAGCCTTTGAATACACTGATATGGGTTCAAAATCAAGGATATGTTTGTCATTTTGATGGATTGCATGCCAGTTTCTCTTAATTCTGGTCTCATTCACTGCATTTAGGAATTTTGGGGTACATTTATTCATCATGGTATCTTTATTGGCCCACATCCAGGTCCATATACCTTCAAAGAACATCAATCGTTTTAAAAGAATGTCAAACACATTTTCGAAAATATCGATACTCTGTCCTTGACAAAAAGACAAATTAATATTCTCAAGGCGGTACTTGCAGTTGGCTGGAACAATTGTTTCTCCTCTAGAAAGCTGTGCTGCCAATTATTCTGTTAATGGGTGAACAATGTAATTCACCTTAGGTCCAGCTAGCTCTGTAATTAAATCTAGGCGTTGACATGACAGAGAAGTTATGTCCTCAGGATGCCTTTTAGTGAAATTCTGTTCCCCATTTAGTGATCTTATTTTATTTAGAGCTATTGATACTAGCTGATGCGAATTCAGAGTGGAGAGGGCAAATGCTGCCTCTTCAAACAAGAAAATCAAATCTTCATACAAAGGCTATGTAATAACATCTGCAATCTTTGAAAATTGTTCACCACATCTTATGACCAGCCATGACATTTTAAACACGTTGACCATCTTGTTGATATCTCGGAAGAGGACTCTAGAAATTGATGGAGTTTCTCCCAATATATACAAAGGCTCTGTAATACTCATACTAACATGATTATTGATTTAATTTAGGAATTGTATATAGATATCTTTTACCAAGTTTAATTGTCAATGAGAATGCACCCCAGCACCTGGCGCGCGCGGCGGCTTTGATGATAGCGGTTGACGAATGTTACTCGTCTAAATTTCTTCGAAGTAGCGCGTGCCGCTTTCTTCTCGATGGCAAGTGCTACGAAGTAGCGCGCGCCGGGCCAGACCATTAACAATGGTCAATGATAGCGGCTACAAGTTAGGCAGCTGCAGAAAAGATGCCGCGCGCGTTCAGCGTGCGGATTTTCGTTTTTGATTTTACAAATGACAAAGCAATTTTTAATGATTATTAATGGAATTATCGGATATTTATAATTCAATATGTATTGATTCTTCTGTGGAAAATATAAATTGTATTATATTTTAAAAAATTGTATTTTACTTAATAACATCTTTGTATCACGTGGTGACCCCCACGGTCGCTTCACTATTGTGTATCGTCTTCGACGATACAGGGGGAGCCGCGCACTTCGTGCGCGGCGGGTCATACAACGTATGACAAATAACATCTGCAATCTTAGAAAATTGTTCATTACATTTTATGTTGTCATACGTTGTATGACCCGCCGCACACGGGTGCGCGGCTCCCCCTGTATCGTTGAAACTCTACACTATAGTGAAACGACCGTGGGATCACGATGTGATACCAATCTTATGACCAGACATGACATTTTAAACACGTTGGTCATCTTGTTGATATCTCGGAAAAGGTATACAACATACAAAGTAGTTTCTCCCCAAAAAACGGAAAAAATTTAAACTACTATCATTGATCATATATCTGTCAAATTGCAAATATTTATAATAACTGCACACGATTCCCAGGAAAAGTTACCGGCTGGTGGTGGTACTAGAGTTGGTTTAATTTAAACAGAAGGCTAGACCTCGCGCGCGACAACAAGCATGATTTGCACGCGTGGCGCATTCCAATGTTCAAGCAGCTACCACGTGACACAATTCAGCCAACCAGAGTACAGTGTACAGGAATCTGCAAAGTTAAAGTTGCAAACTTTTGATCGGCCCGAAATGGGACTTTTCTGGAAATTGTTAACTCAACAATTAGGCTTTTACTAATTTGCTCGCCCAAAAATTTCACGTGACTTTGGTTTTTATGGTTTTGCAGCCGTACAAAACGGTTTTACATAAACCCTAATCCCAACCCTAACCCTAACCATAACCCCGAAGCTAACCATAACCCTTACCACAACCCTAACCCTAACCCGTGCCCTAAACAATCGAATTCGTATTTTACTAGCCTGTCACGTGACCAAAACGGTTTTTTGCCCATAACTCTCCAGGGAAGCATTTTAAGTTTTAACCATACGTCATGAGGGGTGATTCGGAATCAGCGTCCAAAAATACACCGATCCAGATCACTTTCATGCCCAAAGGGCCTTTTCACAAGAATTTTCTTAAAATTTGGGCGAGCGATTTAGTAGGAGCGCAACAATTACGTTGTTTTGAATTTTCCTCCTGGGAAGGTAACGTTACTTTTAAAAAAGGAACATGTTACAAAAACCATAAGTCTCAAACTCTTTTTTGTATCACGTTGCGACCCCCACGGTCGTTTCACTATCGTCCTGACGATACAGGGGGAGCCGCGCACTTCGTGCGCGGCGGGTCATTATGAAAAAAGTGCACTATGAGGCGCAAAATTCAAATGCTGCACTTTTATGCTTTTCGACGAGACATTTCGCAGTATTTTGTTAAATGTTACTTGTTACTGGGCTGCGCTCAGCTTATCATTCCGCCGAATCTTTATTCGGTTTATAAACATGATAGCCTGAGGTCCTCGGTAAAAATTTTTGCGATAATCGATAACGATTTTTGGGAAATTATCGCCGATAATTATCGGCCGGTAATATTGAATATCGAAGGTAATATTTATTTGTCAATTCTTCTGTCTTCGCAGCTCGGCGAGGCCTTGACGGATGTTACTCGTCTAAATTTCTTTGAAGTAGCGCGCGCCGCTTTCTTCTCGAAATGCCCGATGGCAAGTGCTACGAAGTAGCGCGCGCCGGGCCAGATCATTAACAATGGTCAAGGCGAGGCCCAGTCTAGTATAGTAGTAGCGCATTTTGCAGACTAGATGTAACTACGTGGTTACGAGAAGCATGATTGAGTGCACGGCGCGGTCCAGTAACGCATCACGCTACAAAGGTAATATTAAAGAAAGTCACTTCCCCTTCAAGAATGAATCAATTTAGTAGCTTCATTTTGAAAACAAAGGCATACATTATCATAATTATGTAACTTATAATTATAAAACTTTAGTAACTACATTGATTCACGATGTCAATCCTTCACATCTCGCCGATCTGCATACGTGTGGTTGCGAGAAGCATTATTTGATGCACGCGCGACCCAGTAGTGCATCGCGCTACAAGTAACTACATTGTCAATTGTAATTTTCATGCAAAAATTTCCCATGCCAACAACATTTTTATTTGTTGGCTACATGATTTTGTATCTTTTTGTGGGTTATAAAATAGTTATTATTTCTATAGAATGTATATATTGGATAAAGGATATCACACAAATTCTAACAGCTATTGTAAGTGTAACTCATTTGACATACGTTGCATGCCACTTTTCGCGCGCGAAGCGCGCGCCGCCGAAGGCGGAAAAAGGGGCATACAATGAAGGAAATCGGGCTTTTTGGAGGGACGCATATTTTGCGTCCCTATTATCCTATTTGACCAAATATGGGATTAATTGAGTGAGCTACATGATCTACCTAAGCTAGACATACTTAAAACTGCCCCTTACCTAACATTGCTACATACCTAAAACTGCTCCTTCCCTAACATTGCTACATACCTAAAACTTCTCCTCCCCTAACATTGCTACATACCTAAAACTTCTCCTTCCCTAACATTGCTACATACCTGTAACTGCTCCTTCCCTCACATTGCTACATACCTGTAACTGCTACAATTTGCTATTTGCGTTAAATTATTATTATTGAATTTTGATTATTGATTTATATGATTCGGATCTGATTTAAAACAATGAAAAACTGTCTTATTTTAATCAAAATAATTACAAACAATTAAAATGAAAAAGCTTTAAATGAAGAAAAAAAAATCTTAGCTTTCTAATATATTATAATTCATAACACTACATTGAAATCTAAAATATTTTGAACTCAGAAATGTTGACAATGTAGAAAATCTCTCTTAGAGCGGTGGCTTTTCTCGTCCGATTCCAAGTCAGAACAAGTATAAATATGGCTGCAAAAGCGTGTTTCCAAATTTGTCTCAAATGTTTCCACCATCTCAACTACTCTGAAACCAAAATGGAAACATTGCCCCAGAGCCCTTTCTGAACATGCTAGGCACACCAAACTTCTCAGGGACACTCCTGGTATCAATACCGATCGATTCCAATCGGTTTTAGCCCAATTCAGGGGATTCTAGGAAAATGTTCATTTTGTGTTCATTTCGTTCATTCCATGAACCAGGGGAGTATTTTGCACTTCTAAGTGGCTGGAAATGTTAGTACATGTGTCCCTCTACCATACCAGATAGATTCCAAGTCAGTACAAGCATAAATACGGCTGCAAAAGCATGTTTCCAAATTTGTCTCAAATGTTTCCACCATCTCAACTACTCTGAAACCAAAATGGAAACATTGCCCAGGCACACCAAACTTCTCAGGGACACTCCTGGTATCAATACCGATCGATTCCAATCGGTTTTAGCCCAATTCAGGGGATTCTAGGAAAATGTTCATTTTGTGTTCATTTCGTTCATACCATGAACCAGGGGAGAATTTTGCACTTCTAAATGGCTGGAATTGTTAGTACATGTGTCCCTCTACCATACCAGATAGATTCCAAGTCAGTACAAGCATAAATACGGCTGCAAAAGCATGTTTTCAAATTTGTCTCAAATGTTTCCACCATCTCAACTACTCTGAAACCAAAATGGAAATATTGCCCCAGAGCTCTTTCTGAACATGCTAGGCACACCAAACTTCTCAGGGACACTCCTGGTATCAATACCGTTCGATTCCAATCGGTTTTAGTTTAATTCAGGC